CTGAACTGCAGATCACAGTCAGCTGAAGTGGCCTGCAGTACTGCACCCTACCCACTGCGCCACCTCGGCTCTGCGCCCCTTCTGTCCTCAGAAAAAACTTTCTCCATGGAACTGTCCCTGGTACCCAAAGGTTTGGGGGGCCCTGTGTGTTCTCGAGGATGTCTTTATTACAGCCATATTCAAGTCAAAAATTTTAAATTATTTGTATATACGACAGTTTTTGAAATGACGGGTTTTAGAATGTACCGTGTGCTTGCTTCTTTTCAATTTTAAGTTGAATACAATTGTGTTTTATCACAACCGATCTCTTCGTTGAAATAAAGGCGGATTGAATTTAAGCCACTCATTCCCTTGCCTCCTCTTTCTCACTCTCTCTTTTGCATTTTGACAGGTGTTAGATATTGGAGATAGTTTAACTATCCCTGATGAATTCACCGAAGAAGAGAAAAAGACCGGCCAGTGGTGGAAACAGCTTTCGTCAGGCGCAGTAGCTGGGGCTGTGTCTCGAACAGGCACCGCACCCCTGGATCGTCTCAAAGTTATGATGCAGGTGGGCCTCTTAAAGCATTCAAGGTCCAACAAGCTTCTTTGGACACGTTAAAAGGTTTGGATGTAGACAATGGACCTGCAGCATTTACAAGAGGGGGTGATTGGTGATCTTTGAACTGGCTTGTTTTCCCGCAGACATTTCATTGCCCAAACTAGGTAACATCATCAGTTCTGCGAGAAAACAAGCTCAGAGAGCACCAAGGATGCCTCGTGTCAACCCTGGGCTACAAATATTCTCCTCAATTAGCCTTTACAAGAGCCAGTTGTCATATTTTATCAGAAATAGATTGCTGTTCAGATGGATAGACTTAGAATTGATCTACGGTTGGTCTGACTTACTCAGAATTAGGGAATCAGAAACAACGGCATTGTTTTTAGTGTCGGGACTGAAGGTAGCTCCTAGAATTATGGTAACAAAATCCATTCCATTTGCTCGCCCAAGCTTTCTTAATTTCAACAGTAATATTTAAGTCTAGCGGTGGGGGGAAGGAAAATTATTTTGTGGCTGTTATTGTTGGTCAGAAACCCTCATTAATATTCTATAGTTTCACTTAGACATTCTTAATAGATCAAGATTTTCTTCCAGCGGATAACTGGCATACGGCTCTGGCCCCCTCTCTGCCTCCGACACAGAGCCCTCATCAGAGCCTTCCCCNTCTTTCTTTCTTTCTTTCTTTCTTTCTTTCTTTCTTTCTTTCTTTCTTTCTTTCTTTCTTTCTTTCTTTCTTTCTTTCTTTCTTCTTTCTTTCTTGAATTAGAATAATTGCTTTGACATCCATTTGTACCTTGACTGGGGAAGGCATCTAAAATATGGATGAAATCTGAAGCAGGGAGAGAATTGACAACCGGAATGGATAAGACACAGCCATTTGTTCAGCAAACTGTTCGAAGTTACGACAGCGCTGAATGACTCATGGTTATGGCTGGTCCTTAGAATTCTGACTGTCCCAGCACCTCACGTGATTGTGATCTGCATGCTTGGTAACTGGTCACTCTTAATGACCAGTTGCGATATCTTACAATCACGTGATCATCATTGGCCACCTTTCTGCCAGTTTCCCCAGAGGCTCAGTGTGGAAGCTGGGAGTGAAGGTTGCAAATCACTGGGGTAACAGTTTCCCCTACCCATGCAATCGACCTCATTTAGTGACAGAAATTCTGGTCCCAATGGCCGCTGTAGTTTGAGGACTTGCCTGTATTCAAATTAAACGGTTCGAATAGTTAAAACACAGTTTATATACATTAAATGATGCATTGTTAATCATTATTGCTCCAGTTTACTTTTCATGCAGACCTGCTGAATGAAATAATAAAACCCCCTCAAATCACTGTTTTTTAAAGACGCAACTGGACTTTCTGGTTCAGACATTCAAGAAAGTCCAGTTGCCTCTTGAAAAAGCACCTTTGGGGCAACCATGACCTGGATGATTGACAATCTCCATAGGCATTCAGAAATAATGAAAAGGACTCTTGCAGCAATCCCGGATAGTGAGATGGTCTGCGTATACGTTTAATAAATAAATAAGCACAAACCCCTTGCCTTAATGGCGAGCCGAGGTGGCGCAGTGGTTAGGGTGCAGTACTGCAGGCTACTTCAGCTGACTGTTATCTGCAGTTCAGTGGTTCAAATCTCACTGGCTCAAAGTTGACTCAGCCTTCCATCCTTCCGAGGTGGGTGAAATGAGAACCCGGACTGTGAGGGCGATATGCTGACTCAATTTGCTAAAAAAATTGTAAACCGCTTAGAGAGGGCTGAAAGCCCTATNATATGCTGACTCTGTAAACCGCTTAGAGAGGGCTGAAAGCCCTATGAAGCGGTATATAAGTCTAACTGCTATTGCTATTGCTAATATAGTAGGATTTTAGCATACAATTCAGTCAAAATGCCCCTCTTCAGAGTCTTATTTAGACGGAACAGGAACATGATATTGTTCAGAGATCTCCAGAAACAAGTTTTCATATTAATGAGAAGCAAAAAGAAATATTTCTTTTCTGTCTTTCTCTACCCATCTTAAAACATTCCTTACTTATGATAAATTATTAGCCTCCATATTTGTACGCTACAAGAAGCTTTTGCTTATGGAATATTTTACATGTGTACAGGAAACTTTTCTTAGTGTGATAAGGACAATGAAAAAAATAGTGCTCTATTCTGTGGAACCTTTGAAAGCCAAATAAAAAATCAGATTGAAGCATTTTGCACATGAACCTAAAATTAAAGATTGGCAAATAGAACAAGAGTTTAGAATGTGAATGCACATGTAATGTACTTTGAACATGATTAAGTAAAAAACTTGGCAGAATCCAATGTGAAATTATTTCATGTTGAATTTTTAGCATGGACGCCGATGGGACAATGTCAGTGGACTGGAATGAATGGCGGGATCATTTTCTCTTTAATCCTGCTACGGACATTCAAGGAATCATCCGTTATTGGAAACATTCCACAGTGAGTATGGTTTCCATTTTTATCTCAGTCCTGATCTGGACTATATCTAAATAGCTTGTCCATTAGCTTATTCAACGATTATCCTTGGCAGCTGGTTTTTTTTTTAAATTAAAAGTGAAATTCTTGACAATCTCTAGCTAGCTAAACAAACTGTTGCTCCAAAATTGAAGGAAAAACTTGCTTTTTTTTGCCTCTTTTTAAAAATAAAATACCCTACTTTAAATGTTGATTTAAATGGAAAGCCAATTTGGAATAGTGGTTTAAGATCCCAAGCTAAAACACTGGAGACCATGAGTTCTAGGCCAGTCTTAATCACAGCCAACTGGATAAATTGGGATCAATCACACTCTCTTAGACCGAGGAAGATTTACAAAAAATTGCCAAGAAAACCTCAGGGACTTTTCAAGGATAATCACCAGAATAATAACTTGAATTCCCTCCCCAGTTTAAAAAGAAAATTTTGACAAACACTCTATTCTTGCAGATCATGTGTAGATCTCCTTCGTTTTATCTTTTGGCAGATGTCATGCTTTGGGAAAAAACCCTACAATTCTCGGAAGTCCTGATAAATTGAAAATGCCGCTTAAAAGTTTGTGGTTATTATAATCCCTAATTAAATATAAACAGTTCAGACGGCATAATGGAATGATTTAGAGATAAGACAAAATAGATAAGACAGTGGCGTCATTCTGCATCTTGATGGTTGTTCAGTGTGCACTTAGCTGAACAGTAGATAGCCATGGAAAGTTGCAGGTGTAGTCATAAGCAAGAGGTTTTGTAGTAGATGTTATGAACTAAACCTATTTCTGCTCTGCAACTTGCAGGAATGATAAATATTTGTAAGAGACTCCCGAAAAGTGAATATACCTCTCATTTTTCATTTCATTTTTTTTTAAATACTTTATTTGTATGCCGCCCTTTTCCCTGAGGGGACTCAGGGCAGCTCACAGTTGAAGGGGG